TGCCGTGTCTGTATCTATGTATGTGTGTTGTGTGAATTTTTGGTTCCCTCCAAATTTTAATCCTTTGGTCTTGGGCCTTAGGAAGAAGAAAGCCCAATACCTCCAAAATGGGCTCCATCACTAGGAGGGAGTACCCAACAGAAACTGTTGATAAATCTTTTTATATAACAACGGTAGACGTCAGATGATGAAGAAGGAAGACGAGTTCGATGATCATTAGCTAACAAGAAGCGTAGACGAGTTTATTGAGAAAATTAATGTAGGCTCGAGGGATGAAAAGATGAAAACACATTCTTTAGGCTAATGATGATAAATGAACGTTATTTTTTTTATTCGGTTTAGATTGGCCTAATATGGATTAGAATAAAGTGGCAGACCAGGGCGGGGGCATGGGTGCAAAAGAGCATAAATTTTCGCACAGGTTCTTTGAAAAAAGAGCGAGTTCGATCCTCATTTGATGCATTTTCAAGGCAATCTATGCATGTTTGCTGATAAGTACCCACAGAACTCAACCACGTCCTCAGATCTTCAAACGCCTCGAACAATTTCATGTCTTCTATGGACAGTGAATCGTTAAGATGATCTAATGCAAGAGAAATCAATTCTTGGCAACTTTCTATGGCTGCAAAAGTCATTGGGTCTGTGACATTGAATTTATTGATTCCATTGTCAAAGAAATCTTTCAAGGACTTAGAAAGCTCATTTATCAAACTTGGACTGCCATCTTCGGGTTTGAAATTGCCGGACTTTTACTAGCGGAGATGGGCTATTGTAACATGAATCTAGATATAATGTAACATTGCACGCAACTTTTCTAGAAGAAGAAATGAACTCAAGTTTACCGCTGGATTTGCCATTTTTGATTTGAGAAACTCCAACTACAGTAGCCCCAATAACAGCTACAAGAACAATGGAAAATAGGCCAATGATTGTGATTCTTCGTCTTGTATTTCTACATGCCACCAGCGTCTCTTGTTCTGCTTCATTGAGTTTTCCATAAGCATTGATAAAAGCCATGGCTGGAAAACAACTTATGTTTTTTATTTTTCGGTTGAGAATCTGTTTTCTCGTTTAAAAGTAGTAAAATGGCACTGTATATATAGATAATTAATTAGTTGAAATTAATCAATCTAAAAGGCTTAATCCATCTCCATTATCCTAACAAGAAGTACTAATCCTTACTCGATTGTCTCTGGCTTCTGTTAATCAATCTGACTTGGTTTTTCATTCTCCATAAAAATATGGAGTTCGACGTTTGA